ACAATGAGCCGCCATTGGCGTCGTTTCCATTGGTTTTCATACAGCCTGGCGCACTCCATGCATTTGCATAGAATGTCTTCACACCGAATTCGACAGCCTTTTGACTGAGCCACAACTGTCCACTATCTTTGCCATCCCAGACATAGTTCGGTGTACCGCTCGGCGAGCTAGGACAAACCGGTAAGATTGAGTTCATCCAGTCATTCCTGCTGTCTACAGAGCTGCCAATGCCATTGCGGACAATGGAGAAACCGGCGCCGTGAGTTGTATTGTAAAGCAAATTAAGAACCTCGGATTGTTTTGGCTGGGCTAAGTTAACGACGAGATTGGCACGCTGGAAAGCGGCAGAAAAACCGAATCCGTCGACCTTCTGGAATTTTTGTGTGGTGTCTACTGTGATCAATTGGGAGGATTGACGGCTTTCTAGGGAAGGGGCGGCAATGGCGAAAGTCGCCAAAGTGGCCAAATGCAAAGGGAGTGAAAGCATAGTGTATTGCTTCATAAACTTTCCGGGATTTCCCTCAGCGGGATTGCTCTTGTGGGAATGCGGGTTGCGAGCAATGATATATAGATATTCGGCACGACGACTAATCAAACATTGTGCAGCTCATGCTGGTGTGGGTCAGTGGTGATAGGCTTGAATCAGTCGATTCTGGAAATATTAGTCTACTCATACACCATAAATATAACGTAACATAAGGTGTGGCTATATGAACAGTACGAAGTTTATACTCAAGAACACTTTAAATTGATTAATATAGACGACGACGCGAATGATAAGTAGATACTTGAGGCGGCGTTTGCTCTGCCGAACGTGGATATCCATGATGCTGGCGATATGAATTTAGGCTGATGAGAATCTGCAGAACGTATGTATGATCTGCAGGGTGCATCGACAGTCACATGATACCAGGTATCGGAGGCCAAGGTTGTGGGGCAAGGACTGATGTTCACACTCACACTCTACTGTGAAAACACGAGATTTAAACGGCGGGCAAAGGGAGATCAACCAAAAGTATCGGAACTCACGAAAGGTAGGAATGCACAATACTTAACCCTCAATCTGTGACTTGACTTGAGATATCACAGAGGCCAAGTGCCTCCTGAGTAGATCTCAGAACATCATTGTACAGCAAAGACGATCTGTATGCAGGTAAGTAGGAAATTGTTAAGACATACCATGAGGGTAGGTTTTGAGCTGGTCTATTGTAACAATCCCATTAATTTACTGTACATGTATATGCTCAGAAGCAACTGACCTTGAAAAGACGCCTGAATCCAAGTCCTTTAAAACCAACCCTAGAGAGCCATTACTGCAGACGAACGCCTGCAAATTTGTTCTTCTTTGCCTGTTGATCTAGGGCGCCGCTGAGGCCACCGGAGCGAGTTGTATCCAAAGAAGTCTCCGCCAATTTCCTTTTTTCCGCGGCAATCTTATCAAGGTGTTTCTTCGTCTTCGTGTTACCGCTGCCCTTGCCATGGAACTGATGACTCAACATCTTGAACGCTTCCTTCTCATTCAAATGACGTCCATGTTCATCAACATACTTGAGCTCCACCATGGGTTTGTACTCTTTATTGAAAACCTCCGCTAGTTTTCGGCTCTCTACCTGATCGGCAGCAACGTTGTTCTTACGGGCCCATTCTTCACGTTCGCGTGGCGTCATATTGTTCCATCTCGTGGAGTTGCGCTCACGTTCACGTTGTTCTTTTCTGAGACGCTCAGCCGCTTCTTCGGCGCGTTGTTTGTCAGCGAGGAACTTCTGTCGTTCGCGGTACAATGCATTCGTATCACCACTATCCGAGGATGTGATAACACCACGTTGTCTCAACAGTGCAAGCGTGGCACCAAGGCCTTCATCAGTGGTCTTCTCTGCCTCAAGTCCTGTCTCGGTAAGGTTTGATTGTGGTGGGTTAATTGTACGATCTTCCTCTTCCCCGGCTTCAGCATAAGACTGGCCCATGTCAACATCGCCATCGTCATCGACCCGAGCTGCGGTGGAAGACTTGGCACCATCCGAGATGCGGCTAGTACCTCGGCGTTGGCGTTTCCGGGCTTCTTCTTCTTCGTCCAGAATATTTGCTTTTAAGTTATGCACAAACTCGGTAGTTTCGTCGATAACCAAACCGTCATCAGCTTCCGCAGCTTCTTCATAGGACTCTGTCGTATCCATAACGTCGGGGGTTTGTGGAGTGGAGGTGGCCTCTTCTCGAAGCTGACGAGCAATATCTTCAGGGCGCATCTTCTTGCGCTTTTTCAAAGCCAGTTGGCGCTGTGTGGCAAGCTGAGCTTGAAGGTCGTCATCGTCGATGAATGACTGATCTTCGTTGAACTTTTTCTTTGGCTTTGCAGCTATAGTGATAGAGTCTTCCACATCCATTCCATCGACGCCCTCTTCTTGCATTGCTGCGATCTCATCGTCATCCTCAACGCGCTGTCTCTTGGATGATTTGGTCTTCTTCTTTTTCTTGGGCTTCTTCATCTTGACTTCGGATACATCCATATAATCATTGGCCGGCACCTCTTCTTTTAGTATGTCAAGGCTAATAGCGACTCGTTTGGGCTTCTTGACCCCCGCAGCTTCAGCTTCGACTTCTTCAACTGTTCTACCTTGACCATCTAAGGTGAAAGTTTTATGCTTCTTGCCGTCAATCTCTTCATCATATTGAGCAAGAAGAGAACCTTCGCCCTCGTCGTTGGGGTTGTAACCGCGCTTCCGCTTCTTCGAATCCAGCTTTTCCTGCAATCGCTCCTTGTCTCGAAGGGAAACAGCCTCGAGTTCATCGTCATCTTCAGCGTCAACAGCCGTATCTTTGAGCACCAATATTTGATCCTCGCCATCCTCGAACTGGTCGACTTCGTGTGCAACTTTGACTCCAGCCAGATCAGCCTCGGTGTACTGCATCGCCTCCTTGGCCTGTCGCTCCCGTTCTTCGAGTTCACGTTGCATCTGCTCGGCCTTGGCTATCTTCTTTGCCCTCTTTTTCGAACCTTTAAGCCATGCGGTATCGTCCTCATCTTCTACATCAGCCAGACCCTTGCCTTCCATCTTGGCGAATCGGCCCAGCCTTTCTCGCTCTTTCTTGATGGCGGCGAGACGCTGCTCCTTTTTCTTGGCGGCTTCCCGTTCATCCTGGAGTTTCTGCCAGTTGTCGAAGGCGGCAGCCTGACGGGTCTCGACTGTGCTCGCCGGCTCTTCATCAGAGCCGAGTAGTTCTTCTGCCTGTTTGAAAGTGGGACCTGCGGGAGCAGCAGCGCCTGGGACTGGCAGCGGCGCCATGCCCATGGACAGGCGAATCTTGTTGGCCTCCTCGATCGAAAGGTCGGCCATGATGAAGATGGTGTGCGCGTGGCGGAGGGGCTACAGCCGATATAGAGGAGGAAGAGTGAACGTAAGCGGAAACACACAGTAACTCTCGGTGTTTTGCAGACTAGGGTAACAGGAGGGGATTAATACTGGCTGCGTTGGGAGGTTGATGAGTGCACAGTACAGTAAAGTACAGACGGTTCAGATCTGGTCACCGAAGGCCAAGGCGCTAGTCTACTAGTGCGCCAAGATTTCTGCGCTCCCGCCGCCGACTACAAAATATTTTGCGACAGGCCTTTCTCTCTTTTCTTTCTCCTACATCGACCTGTGCCAGAGCTCCCGTCCACCCTTAGGGGTGTGTTCGGTTGCAGCCCTGGCAGTTCGTCCGTTACCAAGGAGCCATCACAGTTTCCATGATGTCAATTTCCGGTCGACAGGTCTGAGAGAGAGTCGGCAGCGTTCTGAAGCCTGAGTTCACCGCGAGGTTCGAGCTCGGTGGATGGCGCTGTCAGGGCAACTGATTCCTAATCCCTTCTGCCAGGCCGTCGGCCTATTACGCTTGGGAAAAACCCAGTTACGCCTACATATCCGCGAACCTGATGATTCAGTTATGCATCCAGATGTCGCGTCGGTTTGCTCGTTGTGACCGCAGTGTATACCATCGGGTATACGCACTGACAGGAGCGCTCAAATTGAATGTGATGCGCTCAACCATATTTGCTTTGTTTCAAACATGTCGTCCGCCACGCCCTGTTCATGATATCGCAACGAGACAGATTCTTCTACAGCAGCTTCAAATTCCCCGTGACTTGATCAATGACCCCCTTCGGCGCTGGGCCAATTCCCAACACTGTTGCGCTGCCGCTTGCTATCTGTGTCCGTCCTGCATCGTGTATAATCTGTGCCACCAATCCTAAGCTAAGTGCCTGTGCCTGCAGCACCTCAAGCTCCTCCTCGCTTTTGACCTGTAGCGCGACTTTCATTTGACCCGATCGTTCCCAGCGGCGGAGTATAGGTGAGTTGGGCGCCGTGCGAAGGAATTGTTTGTAGCAAGCCAAAGTCGCGTGTCCGCATTGAGCTCCGATTTTGCCTGGAGTCGTCAATACAAAAAGTTTTGCTAAAAGATTCCTCTATATCACGTACCCTTCGTCATGCCCAAGTCTGTCCGAACAACTAGTACAAGCTTGCATTCCTCCGCATGACCTGGGAATTCGGCAGGGACCGTCTCGTCTTCATCGCTCGACTCTTCTGACTCGTCCGCTTTCTTCTTCTCTCTGGGAGGCTCTGTGATAGGGCTGCCTCCAAAAAGACCGAGCGATTTTGCTTGTCCGAGGAAGTAACCAGTGACGCCAGCGATGAGTGCGCACGCGACTGCGATGTTCGTTGTAGACGGTTGCGAATCTTGCATGGTTAAGAGTCAAGAAGTGTCCGTGGTGGAATATGCCGGGTGGAGTAAAAGAAAGCCCGAACAATCGAGGCAAGAAGCAGCAAGCTGCGGTGCTGGACTGTTGTTCTGAACGACTTGAAGTGGGGGATGGGAGCTTGGGTCAGTCCGCAAAGGGAACGAAGTTCGCTTTCGAAATGCGTCAGCGCGCCTTGGCATTTCAGTGGTGGACTGACTCACTCACATTGGATGGGGAAAGAAATCGCCCAAAAAAAGTTCAAAAAAAATCAGTTTCGCTAGCTGAAGCCTGCCCAGGCTGAGAATCGAACTCAGAATAACACGGAACTGCGGAATCCACAACGTGTCGTGATACCATTTCACCACCTGAGCGTTGTGTTGTATTGATGGAAGTTCGATGCATAATTTGTTATATGTACTACCAAAGTCTTTTCGCACTGTCAGACTAGACACTCGATACCTAGTGTGGGCTACACAGCAAAGATGACGCGAGTGAAAGTGGGGCTGAACAAACTTTGCGCTTCGCAACCGTTGGTTGGCGACCGGTCCCTCGTCTTTTCGCACCCAAAGCCTAAAGGCCAAAGTCTAGGTACTGTCCCAATAATTCATGGCTGTAAACTGACGCCAAACGCCATGGATAGCAGCTTCAGAAATTATACCCGTTTAGACTCTCAATAGCTCTGCATGAAAATTTGTGTCTATTTAATTTCTTCACAGTTGAGTGTTTCATATAGCATTTCACTGATTTGGTATAAAATATTATACAAATTTTCATTGAGAGGATTGAAACTTAAGATATGCATGCTTCATTGTATTGATTATCATACACCTCTAACGATACATGATTTTATGATAGTGCCCCTGGAATCCATTCCAGCTTGGGCACAAGACATCTTTGGAGAAGAAAGTGTATCGAATGCCACACCCCAGCATACCAAACCCAGAATGAAAAGAAAAAGCTTCTTGAATAAACTGAAGTCTTTCCACTTCGGCACTGGGTTATTCCGAAAAAAAAAAAAGATAAAAACTAATAGAATCCCACCCGCGATTGAAATGCCCAATATGGACCGGTCGACCACCGACTTTAGTCTGATTCCTCTCGTGATTCCTCTCCCTCGAGAGATGCCTCAGGTGCTGATGCGCTGACAGAGTCGTCCTCCGTCCCCCTCTTATTATCAAAGGCGGTCCAAGGCTCCGGCGACTGTTCAGGCTTATCGCTAATCTTGATGCCGGTGAACTCACAGATATCCATTTTAGGAAAGCAGGCTCTGGCTTGGAAAGAAATGACGTCGGATGTGGGCGGTGTGAGGTTGATGACGCCGGTCTGCTGTCTATCGGAGCTTGTACAAACTTCATCTTTATCGCTGATATCGCGTCCGCGCCAAATGAGATAGAGCTTATTATTCTCTAGGGTGATATCCGCAGATTGGTCTGGCTCATAAGCGCTTTCCCCATCACCATCCAATTCGTCGCGAATAAGCTCGGCAGTTTCTTTATCCGCCGCTATGAGCATCGTGCCTTTCACAAAACCCATGCTAAACGATGCAAGAAGACCGGCCTTAGTATGTGGGATGGGACTAATGGACATGGAAAGCTCTTCAGCTAGTTCAGGCCATTGCTCCTGTACCTCTTCGCAGTTGATTTCATACGTTCCAATCAATTTTGACAGTGTTAGGAGAGTAGTGGGGTTTTCCTTCGGAGTGGAGAATGTTTCGTCTTTTGGTGAGGCGTTTTTCTCCGGGGTTGTCAAGCTTTCGTCTTTTGGTGAGGCGTTTTTCGCGGGAGTTGTTGCCAAACTCTGATCTTTTCGTGGACGACCACGGCCGCGTCCTGGGACTTTTGGTTTTGTTTTCCGCTCGTTTAGGGGTATACGAGGACGGCCTCGGCCCCGTCCTGGGACTTTTGGTTTGGTCTTACGATCTGGTGAAGCTTTACGAGGACGGCCTCGGCCACGCTTGATGGGAACTGGGTCGTCGGCCTCCTCCAATGGCCTCTTCGCAGGTTGTACAGGAGCCATCGCAATGGTGTGACAAAAGGCAGTGTTCATGCGAATTGGCTGCTGGTTGGGGGTCGTCTTTTATTTCACCGCGACGCGTTTACTTGGTTGGTCGCGCCTTACTAAGTCGGGACTAGCGTATGCTCCAGCAGTTGCTTTTTCTTTTTTTTTTCTTTTTTTTTTTTTCTCCCCGTTGCGAAAACGAAATCTCTATTCGCGACGCCACTCATGACACAGATCCTAGTTCCGCTGTTTACGATCTGATGTGCATCTTAATTCATTGGTTTGGCAGAAAAAGCATACGGACGAAAGGCTGTTTCGCGTTGCAATCCAATACTAATTGGAGTATACCGCATATTACATAGTTCAAGCTACTTTGTTGGTGACTTCCACAAATTTCTCCCACTGGCGATATGCTTGGCCACTTGCGATTGCCCACTTTGCTCTCCGCACTCCCTCTTTCCATCTTCTGCCGCCGGGGCCGACTTCAGTAATAACATTGCCATCATCTCCATAGCCCATATCGCTGGTATCGCTGTCGCATATACCACTGATGGCAAACAAGGCTGCTGTGTTTATGTAGACGAAATGTAGAATCGGGTCGTCCGGTGGTACCTCGCCCGTCAGTATTCGCATCAAAATTTCAGCATTTTTCTCGGGAGATTGGCCGGGTGAAACGTCTGAAAGTGGATGCGTTGGAAGACCAAAATCGGCAGGAGACACTTGAAAGTATTCGATTTCGACAGACTTTGTTTCAGGGTTCTCGGTCAATTGCCAGCAATGTGTCGGACCGGCACAGGATAGTTCGTCCAACTCTTCGTCTCCACACACAACCAACCCCTTGGTGCAACCAGACTGGCGCAGCGCTTCTGCGTAGTCGGGCCCGATCTCCTTACGAGCTACACCCAGAACGCGGGCTTCGATCAAGGGGTGCAACGGGTTTGCCAGAGGGCCGAGAAGGTTGAAAATTGTACGCCAGCCGAGTTGCCTGCGGATGGAGGCGGCATGTTTGGCTCCAGGATGGAAAATTGGAGCATAAAGAAACGCATAGTTGGTGTTTGCATAGATGTCGTGAAGGGTAGATGGTGTGATGGCAGCTATCTGTGGAGGCCTGGAAGGAACACAGGACAGGAGGTCCGCAGATCCAGAGCGAGATGTGCTCGCCTTGTTTCCATGTTTGCCAATCATGAGAAGGGAGCTGGCCAATATCGAAGAAGTAGTTGAGATGTTAAACGTGTTGTGTGAGTCGCCTCCAGTTCCCACGATATCGCACTAGAATGTGTCAAACAAAGGGTAGTCCATACGAACTTTGGAAACTTACCAATCCGCCATGGTAGCTGCCGTCTTTTCTGCCCCTCTCTGCAAGCAACTTGGACAGATCTTCAAAGTCAATCTTTGTTGCAAAATTGCGCATGGCCTCGGCACATTTAGAGAGCACATCGGATTGTCTGTCTTGATTCGTAAAATGAAGACACGTTAATAGAGCCCCGCTTTGCACTTCGGAGAGGCTGTTTGTGAAGATGAGAGAGAGAGCCGCAGCTATTTCGGTAGCATCGGGTTTTGTAGCGGGCGATTCGTGCCACAGACGTTTTAGGAGGGGTGTTATGGATATTTTAGCATCTTCTTCTCCTTGCGATGTATTCATGGCTAGGCCGCGCGTAGACGGAGATTTCCTAAAACGGAAAGCTGAATTGGGTTGGACCTGCTGGACTTCGTGGCGAAAGGATTGGTGGTTGCCAACTTTGAGATTTACTGAATTTAATCATTCACGACCGAGCAAAGAAGAAAAGAAACGCAGATATAAGAGAAAGGGAGTGAGTCAGCGGGGATTTCCATCAAGGTTCGCAATTTACATTCTGTATACATGCCCCACTAACGCCGATGACGGCTAGACGCACACGGAGAAACGTTAGCCCGGCGCCGGATCTCAAATTTGATCCAACAGTCACAGCTTGGCTTCGATCCAAGGTCATGACGAGTCGGAGTTCATTCTCTGACGGGCCTCGAAGCAAAACGGAAAGCTCCAGCGACCTCAAATGGGCAAGAAGCGGACCCATGACGAGACACGAGATGGCTTCACGAAGCCGTCACCGGCCAAGAGCCGGGTAGCCAAACCGCACGACAAAAAGGAAAAAGAAAAGCGCAAGAATGGCGAAGGAAAGCCAAAGACGGGCCTGGTACGTTGGCAGATGCGCGAAATGCAGAGTACGGGGACTGACGCGCCTTAGTTGTTCAAGCCGCAACCAGAGTGGCACACGGTCGAACTCCCTGAGCTCCCTTCCATCGAAAATCCGACGATACCGCCGCGTCATGTCATCGACGAGCTGCATCAGTACGCTGACGAGCTTCTGGAAGCTGAAGCGACTGAGTATACAGCGTCGCATCTTTCCAAGGACTCGTCGCACAAGTTCATGTCTACTATCATGGCTGCCGGTACCATGGAGGATAAAGTGTCAGCCCTAACACTGTTGGTTCAAGAATCGCCACTACATACTACTGGAGCGTTCGAGCAGTTGCTTGGGCTATCGCGCAAGAAGAGCAGGAATGCCGCGATGATGGCTCTGGCCGCACTGAAGGATCTCCTGGGTCAGGGTGTCGTCCTTCCGCCCGACCGAAAACTCAAAGCCTTCGCAAGACAACCTAACCTAATATGCGCACTCCAAGGCAAATCCGCTAGTTGGAAATATGGCGACAAATTGCCTGGCCAAATTCAAAAGGTACACCTCATTGCTTGGGCTTACGAAGACTGGTTGAAGAAGCAATACTTTGAAATGCTTAAAATCATCGAGACGTGGTCCAACGACGAAGTCGAGTACTCACGCAACCGCGCAGTCACTTTCGTTTGGGAGCTTTTGAAGGAGAAGCCTGAGCAAGAGGAGAATCTTTTGCGACTGTTGATCAACAAGCTTGGAGACAAGGAGAAGAAGGTTGCGTCCCGCGCTTCCTATTTGTTGTTGCAGCTCCAGAATACCCACCCCTTGATGAAGAGTGTCATCATCAACTCCATCGAATCAGACCTTCTCTTCCGACCAAACCAAGCAGCTCACGCCAAGTACTATGCCATCATCACGCTGAACCAGACCGTTTTGAGTACTCGCGAGCAAGAAGTGGCTAACAAGCTTCTGGAGATTTATTTCAGCTTATTTGTTGGGCTCCTCAAAAAGCACCGGGAGCAAGAGAAGGAAGAGGAAAGGGAGGCTAGAAGATTGAACAAATACGGTCACGTTCAGGGCGGTGGAAGTAAACCCGGAAAGATGGCTAAGAAGAAAGCTGAGAAGGCGGCGTCGCAGGTTCACAAGTCTCAAGAGGAAAGTCGGGAGAAGCTGATTTCCTCTATCCTGACTGGTGTCAACCGAGCGTTCCCATTTGCGAAGAC